TATATATATATATATATATATATATATATATATATATATATATATATATATATATGTGTTGCTTGAAGTACTTCACTTTATTTAATATCTGATTATATGATATTATTAACTTTCAAGAAACATTAAAAAACATTAAAAGAAAAATTACTTGTCTTGTTTTTTCTATATAAAAGACATGTGACAACTAATACTGAGTATGGGGTAGGTTGTCATACTTGCGCGATTTTGCTTGCAACTAAATAACTTATTTGTATATAAATATATATAAGGATATTCTTTTTGCTTAGGAATATAGCTACATTAAAATATGCACAATATTACAAAATATTACACACACACATACATCCTTTTAATATAATTTAGAATGTGATAACTAGCCCCAATATTTCCTATATGAAGAATTTTTACTTCCTTTCAGTGTTAAACCGATTCTGTATTCCGACAATATTATTTCTAAAGCTTCCACCCATGCCAATTAAAGAAAAGTAGACATGATGTTCTTATATGTCATGTTACGTAAAATGTAACTTTAGCTCTTTATTATTGCGCGCACGCCAATGTTGGAAGGTGATTTTCTGACAGACAATACGAAAGCTTTATGACTGCACTTTTATATGCCGACAGCTCGTGACTTATTAATTGTAACAATCGTATCGATTCATCACGTAATTCAACCCTGTATCACGTGACACACGCAATTCCGTAATTATCGCGCATAGTGCGTTCACAAAGCGTACCGATTCGATCGATTGTCGCGCACAGTCGTAAACCGCTCTTACTCTTTCACAGCGCTTTTATCTCCTACCTCTTCTCCTTTCGCGTTGCCGTGTGTACTCTGATATAGACATAACTCCAAATACCTGTTCGCGCGCACGTGCACGCAGGTTTCTCCGCGCTGTGTGTCGGTGCGTCGCGATTTACCGGCGATACAGGTTGACGGGCGATAAGTGCTCGCGCTCGGATATCGTGCTTGATTTATTCGAAAGTGCGGGGCCGGGTGGAAAACAGAAATGTCGCGTTTTTCGCGTGACCGCCCGTAGCGCAAATCCCTCGAACATATTTCCTTCCCCATGCGTTACCGTTTGCGTAACGAATATCCAAGCAGAAATTCTGGTCTCAGTTCGCTTAATTAGCGCGGGCCAAAAGTAACGCACGAAAGTAACGCGCACGCAGCGCGTGATAAGTTTTGTAATTAACAACGACATGTCTCTCCGAGCAGAAGTCTTGACGGATAATTCCAGCGCGCGCGACAACCTTGATGTCTCGCCGAGGTAAAGGGAGTGAAAGAGAGAAAGAGGGTACTTGGTGAACGCGCGAGCACGTTACCGCGAGACACGAGCACGACGACAAGCGGCGCGAGAGCGAGCGCAGAGCGAAATGCAAGCCGATGCAAATCATGTCGGGTGAACTTTACAGTGTGCGGACGCACGGCCGGCGAGAGGCGGTGTCGCGGGGTAGAAAATGAAAACGCCGTGCCGGTGCGTGCGGATGCAAATAAATCAGAGCGGGTTGCCGCGACGACGACGACGACGACGACGACGGCGGTGTACTGCGAGGAGGACGAGGAGGACGAGGAGGACGTGGAGGAGCGGGATGGTGGAAGAGCGGAAGACGAGGAAGCGATGGCCGAGGTAAAAGAAGGAAGAAGGATCGGCGGTCGTAAGGGCGAGAAAAATAAAGACGCGTGGGTGGAAGGAGAGGGAATCGGGCGAAATAATGTGCGCGAGATTGCTTGTAACCCGAGGACCCTCTCTCGCGAGAGTAACCCAATCTTTCTCCCCGTCCCCCTCTCACCCTCTGTCCTCGTCGTACCGCCGTTACCGTCGGGCCGAGTGGAACGTGGTGCGCGGAAAAGAAAGGGCTCGCACGGCCTGCCAGCCCTACGATTATTTATTCTCAATGAATCGATGACGGGCCACCGGGCGTATATCGTTCTCTCGGCTCGCAATAACGATCGAATGGCGACTGCCGTGCGGCGTGCGGCGATATATTCGCCGGTATCGCGATATCGCCTCGGCCACTAACGGCCGGGAGGTAACGCGCGACCGATACGGCCGCTGCATCTCAGGATAATCGATCGCGCGAGTCGCGTCGCGTCGCGTCACGCTGAAACATAAGGACTTAATTGCGAGTGTAACACGGTTCGCCGTTCGCAATCGGCGGTGTCGAATTGATCGGTCACGTTGCGCTCCGCTCGTCTTCCCATCCCCTAGTCGAGACTCTTTCTTTCGCTATTGTTTCTATCTTTCGGCGCCCCCCACACTGAGAGAAAAATATAGTCGCCTTTGGCGTCAACTATACGCTTTTATGATTTTAACCACAAAAATAATTGGAAGAACCATTGTTTTAGTAAGTGTTATTAGAAAGATGGTTCTTTTAATTATTTTTCTGGTTAAAATCACAAAAAAGTATAGTTGACGCCGAAAGCAACTATATATTTCTCTCAAGTAGACTTTCATGATTATCACGACGTGTGAGATAATCGACCATGGAGACTATTATTGATGACAATTGACGAAGTATACAATTATCTTAATTACATTTATGAGGCAAATATACACTGTGTATTAAATTAATTATTAAACTTACAATAACGTAAATTTTTTGTTACGTTGATGCGGTAACAAATTCATTAAAAGTTACTCAGATTTTTATATTAGATTTTGCATGACATTATTTTAAACAACTTTTGATCACTTTTTTCGTATTTCTATGTGATAAATATAAGTGCTATATAAACCACTTATGAGAAACGCAATTTTTACAAATTAATTAGTAAGTTGTTGCTAAATTATATACAGACAATAGATAAGGGCTTATAGGTAAGTAAGTAATTCAGTCTATCTTCAATCTTCTTTCCCTCAATCTTTTAGATAATGATAGAAAAGAACAGAAAAATAAAAGAGTGAGTTTACTAATAAGAGGTAGTAATGAAAGGAAGAGTTCTAGATAGACTGTCTATTCACTCTTCAAGGTAAGATTTCTTTGAACACGCAGAAGTTACATATAATATAGACAACAGATAAAAGCTCATAAGTAAGTAAGTAATTCAGTCTATCTTCAGTCTTCTTTCCCTCAGTCCTTTAGATAATAATAGTCTTTTAGATAATGATAGAAGAGAACCGAAAAATAAAAGAGTGAGTTTACCAATAAGAGGCAGTAATGAAAGGAAGAGTTCTAGATAGACACTTGTCTATTCACTCTTCAAGGTAAGATTTCTTTGAACACGCAGAAATTACATATAATATAGACAACAGATAAAGGCTCATAAGTAAGTAAGTAATTCAGTCTATCTTCAGTCTTCTTTCCCTCAGTCTTTTAGATAATGATAGAAAAGAACAGAAAAATAAAAGAGTGAGTGACACCTGTCTATCTGGAACTCTTCCTTTCATTACTGCCTCTTATTGGTAAACTCACTCTTTTATTTTTCTGTTCTTTTCTATTATTATCTAAAAGACTGAGGGAAAGAAGATTGAAGATAGACTGAATTACTTACTTACTTATGAGCCTTTATCTGTTGTCTATATTATATATCATTTCTGCGTGTTCAAAGAAATCTTACCTTGAAGAGTGAATAGACAGGTGTCTATCTGGAACTCTTCCTTTCATTACTGCTTCTTATTGATAAACTCACTCTTTTATTTTTCGGTTCTTTTCTATCATTATCTAAAAGACTGAGGAAAAGAAGATTGAAGATAGACTGAATTACTTACCTACTTATGAGCCTTTATCTATTGTCTATATTATATGTAATTTCTGCGTGTTCAAAGAAATCTTACCTTGAAAAGTGAATAAAATCTATTCTATCCTACTCTACTCTACTCTACTCTCACTCACCTCGCTCTTCGGTGGCACTCCGGCCCCGTGAGGACCAAGAGTCGCCGACGATGTGGAATGATTCGGCACACCGGGATACAGCTGCGAGTGCGGCGACAATCCGTGAACGTGAGGCTGCGAATGGGGATGCGGCGGCGGTGGAGGCACTGGCGACTGCAGGGAGTGCGTGTGAGGTAAGAGTGCCACCGCGGCCGCGCTCCTCAAAAGGTGAGCCTGTAGCTGCTGCAGGTGCGGCGCCATACCGGGATGCATGCCTAAGGCTGGACTCATTGCTGCAACATACAGATCAATTAGTCCGCTGCGAAATTCCTCAACTACTCGGTAGATTATCGTTCTCGTGACATGCGCTCTACAATCGTAGCGCTCGAAATATCAAAGATAACTTTGGGATTACGATGGGAACTTACGGTTAATTAAGGACTGGTTATAATAGTACGCACAGATGTGCATTAAACCTACCCAAGCAGCAAATTAGGGCGAAATTACGTCTATTCGACTTTCTGATAGGTTCAAAAGTCTGTTCGGCCAAACCCAATCTACGTCGAATCGACGTCGAAAGAAGGTATGTAGGGAATAAAGTTAAATAAATTTAGTCATCTCTAACCTAATGTATAACTTTCAAGTTACTGAACTTTGAAGACATTTTGTAGGTTTAAACTACGTAATTCTCGACTTGTATACTAGACATCAAACGCTATTTGACTTTCAAGATATTTTTTTATGTCGAAAATTGGTAATTTTTCACTTAAAGAGATGAAAACTTGACCGACATAACATTAACTCCTTTTTGTAAAGTTTATGTCTTGTTGCTTGCACAAAATTACAAACGCTTTTACACAACAAAAGTGCATGCAAAAATATATTGAAGCATTGCCCAATATGTGACGCAAATGAAAAAATATGTTTAAATTTAAATTTTGAGCTGTCAGTTAGAGTCACAATATTTGTTTAATACAAATATTCTGAACCCACGCAACTGTTTATCGCAACAATGATAATAACTGAACAAAAACGAAGAAATCGTAAAAAATCGTCGTAACGTCAGTGCCGCGGTTCTTCCTTATTCGGTTATTATTTAATTTAATAATAAATTAAATAATAACCGAATAAATTAAATAATAACCGAATTAAATAATAACAGAATAAAGGGGGCGAAGTAATAATACTCGAATGGTAGTAATAATAACATCTGTTCGACAATCGTATGATAATATTCGCGAGTAGATAATAAAGAAATAATAATAGTCGAATAATCGGTAATAACAATATCTAGGTAACGGCTTCAACAAAAACTCTAGGTTCAACAAGGACTAAGTATGGTCGAATAATCGGTAATAACAATATCTAGGTAACGGCTTCAACAAAAACTCTAGGTTCAACAAGGACTAAGTATGGTCGAATAATCGGTAATAACAATATCTAGGTAACGGCTTCAACAAAAACTCTAGGTTCAACAAAGTAAACAGACCGTCGTAACGTCCCACTCGGGCCGTTAGCTGAGCGGCACTGGGGAGGGAGGGGGGGCGCGCAGCGCTAGGTCATGTAAACACGCGTGCGTGAGCAAATGCTTGAGCGTCACACCATAGTACTATCAACAGGCGAGGTGAACGCACTGAGAGTGGCCGCGTTATTTTCTAGATTATTCCGCGACGATTTTTAATACCGCGTTTCGACTTCGTGACAACTGAGGCGATAATTAAGACGCATACTCCTCATGCGAGCAGGTGTTGCGGGGTTTACCATGACAGGTAATTACCGCGTTTTATTTACTTTTTTACTTGTTAGATAGAGAAATGTCGCGATCGAGTTTCTCAATGCCGATCAAATATTATCATCATCCATTTAAAATCATCCATTCGGATCATACCTTTAAGATCATCATCTATTTCGGATAATCCATTCGAGTATTATTACTTCTTTATTCGATTATTATTTAATTTATTCGGTTATTATTTAATTATTGCTATTACGCAGAGGAAAGTAATTCGGGCATGCCGTTACGATAATTTTTTTACCTCGTCTTTAATCAGTTATTAAAACCATTGCCCACTTATTGTTATTTGTTATTCATTGTTATTACCAATTATTTGATCATCGTTATTCCGTTATTATCCATTCGCGGATATTATCACATGACTGTCAAGCAAATATTATTACCACTACTATTTAATATTCGAGTATTATTATTTTTTCATTCAATCATTTAATTTATTCGATTATTTAATTTATTCGTTTATTATTTAATTTATTCGTTTATTATTTAATTATTGCTATTACTCATAGGAAAGCAACTCGGACGTGCCGTTACGATAATTTCTTTACTTCGTCTTTAATCAGTTATTATTGCCGTTGTCCAGTTATTGTTATTCATTGTTATTATCGATTATTCGATCATCGTTATTACGTTATTATCCGCTCGCGGCTATTATCACACGATTGTCGATTAGGTATTATTATCACTACTATTTATTATTCAAATATTATTACTTTTTTATAATAATTATAATAATATTTGCTCAATAATCGTGTGATAATAGCCGCGAGCGGATAATAACTCAATAACGATGATCGAATAATCGGTAATAATAATGAATAACAATAAGTGGGCAACGGCAATAATAACTGATTAAAGACGAGGTAAAGAAATTGTCGTAACGGCACGCCCGAGTTGCTTTCCTATGCGTAATAGCAATAATTAAATAATAACCAAATAAATTAAATAATAATCGAATAAAAAAGTAATAATACTCGAATATTAAATAGTAATGATAATAATATCTGTTCGACAATCATGTGATAATATCCGCGAGTGGATAATAACGAAATAATAATGATCGAATAATCGGTAATAACAATACTTGGGCAACGGCTCTAACAAAAACTCTAGGCTTCACAAAGGCTAGCTAAACGTACTGTCGTAACGGCCCGCTCGTGCTGCTGACTGAGCAGTGCTTGGCGGGGCGCGTGGCCGGGTCATGTAAACACGCGTGCGCGAGCACGTGCTCGAGCATCATAACACTCAACCGTCGAGACGAGCACATCGGGAGCTGCCGCGTTATTTTCTAGATTATTCCGTGCCGATTTTTAATACCACGTTTTGATTTCGCGACAATTGAGACAATAATTAAGACAAATTAAGACGCGTACTCCTCACGCGAGAAGGTGTTGCGGGCTTTACCGCGACAGGTAATTGCCGCGTTTTATTTACTTTTTTACTTATTAGATAGAGAAACGTCGCGATCGAGTTCCTCAATGCCGATCAAATATTATTATCATCTATTTATTATTTGAGTATTATTACTTCTTTATTCGGTTGTCATTTAATTATTTTTATGGCGTATTGGGAAGCAACTCGAGCATGCCGTTACGACAATTTCCTTATCTCGTCTTGCTGTTGTATGTAATTAATTGATACTACCAAATATTATTATACGGTTGTCGATCAGATATTAATATTATCATACACTAATTAATGGGATGTTATTATTTCTTTATTCAGCTATGATTTAATTATTTCTTATTACTCATTGGGAAGGAACTCGAGCGTGCCATTACGACAATTTCATTTCCTCGTTTTGCTGTAACATGTAATTAATTAATAAATTATTAAATTAATAAATTAAATTAAATTTTTGTAACAGAGATCCAATGGAACAGACGTAGTCACTACGTAGGCTCTAGGGGATACGATGCCTTGGGGATGCCGCGCCGGAGGATCCGGCTCAGGCCTGGCAGAGTTGGCGCGAAGGTGAGTTTCACTGATTTTAATTCATAATTCCGATATATCCGATAAAATTGGAAATTCTTTTGTTTGAAATCAAGTTCCTTAATGTCTCTATTGTCATGTGTAATACTAAATTAAATCTGCTTTCTGTTACAGAGACGAAACAGACGACCAGCCGACTCTTAGGGGCTGCTGCGTCGGAGGATCTGGCTCGGGCCGAGCGGGGTTAGTTCGAAGGTAAGCTTCATTAATTAACATTTGTAATTAGAAATCCGACAAGATTGATAATTCTCTTGTTCGAAATCGAGATAATTTGAATCAAATCAAAGATCGCGTTACACGCGGGGAGAATTTTTTTTGAGTAACGTCATCACTTGAAAATTTTAATTTGTTCTAATTAAGAGATTTATTTGTAACGTCGAGAAAAAGGAAAGTGGAATATTTAAATTGTAAATGCATTCAGAAAAATTCTTCCAGCGTGAAAAATATCGTGTTTATTTCTTTTTAATCCTTCAAACTTTTTCACTCAAATCCTCATCAGTGCATAAATCTAATCGGCGAAATGGTATTTTTCTGTTCCAGAAATGAAAGCAGAATGTGGCTACCCTGATCGGCGGTTTGGTGAGTCAAAAGAAAAAACATATTGATAATAGAAAGACAAAAAGTTTTTCGATGTAGTGCATGCTTACCGAATCAATGCGATTTACTTTGCTGTAGTTGTAGTATGTGTATGTGCCGTCTAATAAAAATCACACTGCTCGAAACAATTGGAAGATCGCTTTTTAAAATAATAATATTAGTGATAATGCATATTTTATATAAATTTGGCAAATAAATTTTTAAATATTTTTCTCTCCAATGTATATATATTTATAGAAATTGATTAACTTAGATTATTGATTGGTCGACGATTTTTATGGGAGGTAATTTTGATTAATCAAACCCCAACACTATCTGGATAGTGATGATATATGGTTAAAGTATAGAATGATGATAGATAGTGATGATAGATGCTTAAAGTATTGAGTATACGCTCTGAACATTCAAATTTTGTAAAATTATTTAATTTTATTGAATCTTCCAAGTGTATTCAGCAGTGCGCCAACGCGCAAAAAGATTGCGCTAACGCGCAAAGGGATTGCGCCACAAAAAATGCGCGATCACATCACCGGCGTCATAGATCTTCCACCGGTCGTTAATTTTCTCAATTTCCTTTCTCGCGTGAGCTTGAATCGCGATTGTATTTCATAAAGTAAAATTCATGTTTCATTATTAAGTAAAATTCGATATCGTGTGGCACCTGTGCCAAGCAATCTAACGTGATTAATATGATTAAACTGTTCGCAAAATTAATTTTCTGGTCGTCGGAAAATCTTTAGGTTTTAATTTTTCACTTAGAGTTAGAGTTTCCTAACGCAGAACACAATAGAGACAATGCTAGCGAGCGTTGATCCCTCATGAAAAATGCGATGTACACAAGTCAGATATGCGAGCACTTGTTTGTTTACTTATGTGGCGTGCGACAAGTTCTATCAAACGAAGACAGACGTCTCACGCAGTAACATTTTTTTCGCATGAATTTTGAATAGAATCTTTATCGTCACAATTTTCATAGTTTTTGATTTTTCATTCACGCTCGTGTTCGCGATTATTAATTTGATAGGTTTGCGAATTTCATCGGATCGTATTTGCGGAAGAGTCGCGAGCGAACTTCGTGGAGATATTACGAAGTTATTATCCGCAAAAGCATTGCGGAATTGTCTTCGCTAAAATATTGCGGAGCTGTTATCCGCAAAGATATTGCGGAATTGTCTTCGCAAAAGTATTGCGGAACTATTATCCGCAAAAACATTGCGGAGATGTATTGCAGCCTACTACGCTGCTCTACCGAAACGTTACATTAGGGATATTCCGTATCGTACGTGAGAATCTTATATAGATTATTCCGCCCACACGTCGAAAAATTTCGGGAGATCGGTCTTCGATTCGCGTCATGTGTTCCTTTCGCTCGTGGATTTCGTTTTTTTTATAAGAGATTCGCGTCGCGCGTGTATCAAAGCGATACACTACAACTCGATCGGACTGTTGCTGAATTTGTTGTACATACTTGTCGTTTATCCGAAAGGCCGATATTTACTCGAAGACGCAGTTCGCGATATTTCATACGCAATTCACAACTCGGAATGTATCCCCCAAGAGAGATGGGATTTTTCGTGAAACCTCCGTTAGATTACCGCGGTCGGGAGTGAATTACAGGCGACGTGGGACGCGAGGATCATTGCAGTGTCAGATGCAGCGACAGGATGGCTGATGGACCCTGGACACCGTGGAACGACGCGCAATGGTGAGCGCTCAATTTAGACGCTCATATAGTAGACACAAAGCGTCACTTTATGTAGATGCATGCACGTAGACGTAAATCGCATTGGATCCGACGGGAAGTAAAGTAAGATTTGGAATTTGCAATTCGCTGGAGTTACGTAAGAATGATCCAACCAAAGAATTTAGCTCTGAGATCTTCGCAATAGTTCAATGAGTCAAGCATTTCCACTTCTTTAAGAGTATTGACTAGCTCAATCCTTAGAAAAATGTGCAAAAAGACGCGACTGGTAAAAAATAAAAAAACTGTTTCTTAATTCATTTCAAGTATCTAGAAAGCTTGAATTTTTTTGTTTAATTTAAAAAGATGTGAATGGAGTATCTATTGATAAAAGCTTATAATTTTTTGAATTGGATCATTCCTGCATAACAATGGCCAATTGAAATTTCGACTTGGCAGGCTTCCTTCACGTTGGATTATTTCTTGATGATACATGAAACTGATATATTTTAACATGTCAAATTTATATGCTCTGTATATGTTATATATGCTTTTTATGCTCTATATATGTTTTATATATATACTATTTGATTAATATAATTTATAACTTGTTATGTCGTATTATATACGACATAATATTTGTTCGGAGATATTTTCTTATGCATACGCGTTTGTTGTTGACAAGACGACAAATTAAATTTCGACAAATTAAAGACAACAAATTAAATGATTAAACTGAGACTCGAACCTAAATGTTTTGATTTCCCGCTAAATTATTAAGCCGAGATTAGGACCCGAGTGTTTTGAGATTCCGCTAAACCATTAAGCCGAGATTCGAACCAATGTGTTTTGAGGCTCCGCTAAATTACTAAACCGAGATTCAACCGAAGTGTTTTGTATTTCTGCTAAAATATTAAGCCGAGATTCGAACCGATATGTTTTGTGTTTTTGCTAAATTATTAAGCCGAGATTCAAAACAAAGTGTTTTTAGTCTTCGCTAATTTATTAAGCCGAGTTAGTTAAACCGGGGATAATTTTTTAAAGTCGCTTAAAAAAATTTTCGTGTTTGCAAAGATGTATTATTGAAAATGATGTGAAGTGTGTATTTCGCTTTGCATCATCTCTTGGATGACAATATGCGTTAAGGTGATGCTGGAGTCGATGACGAGCTCGAACAGTGTCGATAATGTAGTGACGATCGTCACTAACATAATCACGCTATTCTTTTTGTATTTCTTGTATATACAGAACTTATTGAATGTGTATTGCTTTGTTTTACTATATTCAACGGAAAACCTAACCATATATGTGTGGGAATCTTTCTGCAAACTTTTTATATTTTTAAGCTTCCAAATGCAAATGCGAAAGTAGAGTAATATTTTTCAAAATTTTTTTGTTTGGAGCATCCACACTTTCAAAATATACAAGCTGCGGAACTTTTGGATTGGGCAAATATTACGCTAACTGACAGCTTGAGATTTTACATTAAAAATTTTTTGTTCGTTTTCATCACATATCGAGCAATGCTCCTATTTATTTTTATACGTACTTTCATTGCGTAAAAGCATTTGTAATTCTGTGTAACCAATACGACCTAAACTTAATAAACTTTGCAGAAAAATGTCAGTGTTCTGTCGGTAAAGTTTTCAGCTTCAGCATCCCCTTAATGTCACTCTACTCCCTCAATAACACGCTTAGTAACGTCTATGTGTAAGAAAATTGAAATGACAACGTAGCAAATACATTTGCATAACATATGTGAAAAGATGATAGCGATATCATGTTAGCGCCTATTTGACGATCGTCTTTATTCCATAAGTATCTATGTGTACATAAATTCGATATCGTCGCTAAATAATAACGTTTTCTACTTTTTCATGATCGTTCTACGTTATTGATGCTTATCAAGTTCATTGCTTGCTCCGACATCCCCTTAATTAGGGCAATCTGACTTTGGTTTGGTCAAGATTCCCTGCTTTGTCGCTTGTATATTCAAAGTCTATTCTTACATTTAGGATCGTCTTAGCTGGTTCTAGCGCTACTCTCTAGTCATATATTATTAATAAAGTCGTTTAAAATTACTGAAAGAATTTTGCAATAATATTAGTGAGATGAAATTCGTGAATATCATAATATGAAATCGTTTCCTCAAAAAAATTGTCAAATATTGTGAGACACTCATTCAGATATTATATACCCGTATCACCTTCACAATCTCTCGTGAGGACGTAAAGCGGATTGAGATGAACACAAAAGTTCCATACCGTTTTGCGATATTCTCAATAATAATTGAGAAATTAATTAAAGAAGATTGGTGAATGATCACGCGCGATATGATAGATGAGCTGCCATCTGCCGTTGTATATACGTTGTATATATTAAGTCAAATTGAACAAAAAAGCCCTCTACCATTTTGCAAATAACCACATAGATTTTTAGATATTAATTAAAGAAAATTGTTACATGATTGTGTACCACAATGTACAAATTTTCTTATTAATATCTAAAAATCTATGTGGTCATTTGCAAAATGGTAGAGGACTTTTTTGTTCAGTTTGTCTTAATGTATAAGTATACAACGGCAGACGGTGCCACTGTAGCTTCATTTACCAATCTTCTTTAATTAATTTCTCGGTTATTATTGAGAATATCGCAGAACGATATGGGACTTTTGTGTTCATCTCAATCCGCTCTACGTCTTCGCGAGATTGTGAAGGTGATACGGGACACCCTGTAGATGTCTAATGTAATCACAATACAGAACAAATAAACTCAGGATGTAAATCTTAAATGTAATGTAAAAACAATCTACGAATGCGGCCCTCCAGTCGAATTCGCCATTAAGTAACGTGTGCGTTCAAAGGGTGCTTGGGTGTGCACGAATATTCAGCAGTCGATAAGGTGCTTTACGCGGCTTGTTCGTTCGGCGGCGTGACACGAGAATAATCGAATAAACATCTAAATCGGACCGCGTGTCCGCTTCCTCGACAGTCCGGGCACGACACGCCGGACTTCCGGCACGTAGGCTAAGCTTGCATTTCAATCGCCAGTCTCTCGTGACTGTTACGAAACTGTAAGGCGCAACCGCGTAGGCAGAGACCATTGTACGTGAGCCTGAATGCCACGGTAACCCGTCGAATCAGCTCGTTTCTCAGATGTATCCGGCATCGAGCGCGCGCTTTCATGAGAGATCGCGCGCGTATATTAATGATTGTTTGTTATTGTGTCGGGGCATTAATACGCCGTTATTATCTTGTCATCGTGATACCTCTCGAATTGAGAGATCGAGTTACGTTATCGAGGTGATCGCGGCAAAATCGAAGGTAACGCGAATTCAATATCCGCCGGCTATGGCGCAAGATTGAAATTGAGCACGGCCGAGACAGGAACGAAACAGACGGGGGAGAAGGATGACGGGGAAGAGGTGGAGGTGGCGCGTAGTAGCTCGCGGTGGCGTACGCGTCCGAGGCAAATTTAACGAGCGACAACATCCTGCGGGTATTCGACGACGGCAACACCGACAAACGACCGGGCCGCCACGCCGGCTGAATTTTAATCCGTTAATTACTTCATTTAATCGCAAATTACCGGGCGTTCTTAACTCGTGAGCAAGGAGGTCCCCGCCTATATAATGGCTTCATGCGCCGCTGGTACCTTAATTCGTCGTCCTGTATCGCCTTCGGTCACCCTTTAATGAGCGACGACGCTAGCTTCTATCCGCGTGATGAACGTGGTCGCGAGGAATTTCGTCCGCTCACAATCGCGATAATGTCGCAGTGGTTACCCGTGGATAATTAGACTCACCTGCAGAGAGGTGTCCGTAGCTGCCGCTCGCACTGCTGCTCCGCGAACCATTCACGATCGACGCCAGACTGTTGGGGCTGAATCGGATCATGTTGTCGATGTCGAACCTGTCCGAGTACGGCGAACTGCTCAACGCCCTTTTCCGGCTCGCTCTGATCGTCGAGGCTCTCGGGCTGCCTAGTCTCGACGATGCGGAGACTAAAGATCGAAAAAAAAGTTAAATTTTCCATCGTCCCAGCGTAGAGTGTAATTAGAATGCTTAAATTTGCTCCAAAATTTTTTATTCCACTACGATATCAAATTCCATTCTTGCCCGAAAGAAATGCTCGCTTCAACTGGGAAGGAAACGATTATTTAATAAATATTACTGCTCGATGATGTTGAGATCCAAATTTCCATTTAAGAGCGCTCACGTTCTTCCTTCGTCTTCTACGCCTCGTTAATGGCTAAGGACAGTATCTCAAAAGTAAATCATTAGTTCCATCATAGAAAATTTTTTGGGATCTAACTTGGATCCAGTACGACTCCCTGAAATAATTATGATTTCTAGTCCCACATAAAAGAATTTTGTGGAATCTAATTGAAATCCATCCAAATTCTCGCTAAAAAATAATGGATTCTGATTGAAATCTAATATGGGTTGTTTGCTTAGAATACAGAATACAGAAATACTATGGGAATTCACTCTTTTTTTCAATCGGTAACGTCAACATACCTTTATATTATCAAACAAGGAATTTTCAATTATTGCATTCAATAGAATAAAAAATTAATAAAATGAAATATTTTAGAAATACTTTGTATATTTTATTGAATGATGAAATTATTTAGAATGTCAGTGTATATTTTGTTTCATTTTAAAATGGAGACTATTGAAAAAACAGAATAAGAAAATTCTTTGAGTTTCTCACATAGAATCGCATATTTGTAACAATTACACTTCTATCGTATATCATATAGAAAATGTTCTAGCATCTAATTGTGTGTGTGTGGAATTTACTTTGATTAAAAAAAAATAATAATAGAAAATGTTTTGAGATTGGGAAGATTTGAATTATGTGTATAAAAGTATAAAATTTTAAAATACAATTATAAATAGGAAACACCAAAACCCCATTTTATCAACTGAACGTTTTTCCCAAATCCTTTTTTAAATTTCTATTTTATATTTATGTTGAATATAAAATATATTAAATGCATTAAGCAAAGTATTTAAAACAATCTGAGTATTTATGTTATTAAGTATTTATATTTGTAAAGTTTACGTCAATACTTCAAGTGTTTCAAAAATTTTACTCAGTATAAATATAAAGTACAAATTAAAAAAAAATACTTTAGAAAAACACGTTTGGTAGGAGAATGGGGTCTGTTTGGATTTCCCAGTTAGAATTGCATCTCTGAAACATTACATATTTTAAACTCTGAATCTTCGTAGATTTCAATCAGAATCCATTATTTTTTAGCGAGAATTTGGATGGATTTCAATTAGATTCTAGAAAATTTTTGTTATGTGAGACTAGAAACCATACTTATTTCAGGGAGTCGCACTGGATCCAGATTAGATCCTAAGAAATTTTCCATGCTGGAACTAACTGACTTATTTTTGAGATACTATCCTTAGCCATTAATGAGACGTAGAAGACGAAGAAAGAAGGTGAGCGCTCTTAAGCGGAAATTTGGAACTCAACGTCATCGAGCGGTAATATTTATTAAACGGTCGTTTCCTTCCGAGTTGGAGCGAGCATTTTTTCAGCATTTACCGCTAAGGTGGCAATCAGGTACATAAGTGGAGAGGAAGCCGGAGACGGAAGGTGCTCCAAAGGTGAAGAAGAGCTGGGTGAACGTCGGCTACGTAGGAAAGAGAGAAAGAGACTCCGGGGGAGAGATCGGGGTAGACCGATCTTGCGGCCTGAACGTTTTAGCGGCGATTTGCCTGCGACCGCAGCACAACGACGTAATATACAAACCACTTTCTTAAGACCGTGGTGGCGGCTCGCTTGTATGTACCATCGTTGGTTACATGGTGGCGGTTACGCTCTCCCTCATTCTCTCCTTCTCTCTTTCCTCACTCGACACGACGCCTTTCTCACTTTTTCTCCTTCTCCTTGGCTTTCTTGCTCTACCTTCGCGGGCAATACCCACGGAATTAACCCGCGAGTACTCTCTCTCTCTCTCTCTCTCTCTCTCTCTCTCTCTCTCTCTCTCATATACACACACATTCTCCCTCTCTCTTCCAACCTCCACTTTTGTACACCTTTTTCTTCCGCTTGTTCTTTCCACCTTATACCTCTTTCTGTCTTTCTTTCTTTCTTTCTCGTCCCTCTCCTGTCTCTGTCCGAACAGCAACGCGATACACAGAGGACGAGTACGAGAGAAGAGTGAGCCTACCCTTCTCCTCGATTTCCACTCGGTTGATCGCTCGTTCGCGCACAACGGGTATAAAGTTACTCGCGGTTGCAGCTCAGCTCTTCTCTTTTTGGCGAAACTCACTCCTCCGCGTCGCGCCGCGCCGCGCCGAGCCGAGACGAGCCGCGCGAACGGCTCCGCTTTGTCTCCTTCATCGGTTATTAATTCGGTCAATGATCAAATTTACAGTGGTCGACCAGCGACCAAGCGAAAACCAACGGCCCGGCACTACCGCCGTGCGGTTTTTCCGCACGATGTGAGACGATCGCGTGTTCAATGAGCGATTCATCGGTTCACGCAACGCTCGCTACTCCCGCGGTCTTCCGCAGCTTTCCGCGACATTATAGAGGTGATCAGGCCATGTCCGCAAACATTTTTGAGAATTTTGTCGAGAAAACTTTTCTGTCGACCGAATGAAACATATTGCGATTCTTTTTCTATTGTTCCTCTCACGATAAATAGACAAACAAAGTATACACTGAGAAAAAAATTATATTAAAATCAACAAATATTTTCTTGTGGGTGCCATTTATTTAAATTACATTAACATATTTATTTAAATTACATTAACATATCTACATTCTCTTTATTTAAATCAAATATTGTTTATCTGATTTAAATAAACAATATTTGGTTTAAATAAAGAGAATGTACATTTAGCTAAATATGTTAATGGCACCCATCAAGGAAACATTTGTTGATTTTAATATAATTTTTCTCTCAGAGTATAGTCGTATATATAAATTGCATACACACAAAGCACTTGGGTCTACTAGATCCTCTCTCCTATTTTATGTGTTGACAACCCTAGGCATGCCGGGACAACTCGGCAATGATGTAGCATGTTTACATTTCGAGTTAAAGAGAAAAAATATACCATTTAAAAAACCTTACGTATTATGAAAACATAGAGGAAGGTTATTTATCTTTCTTGCCACGGCAATTAGTTATCTGAGAAGTTGCAACTTTGAGATTTTGAAAGATATGTCATCTAGCTCCAATCTCCCCACCCACATACATGTCGTACACTTTGAGAAACTCTTTATCGATTAAAACTGTTTTCTAATAAGTGTGGCTTACTATTGCTGTCTTGCTTCAGAAAACCATGCAGAATATAGTGAATTTAGTTTCTTTATTTGCATTTGTGCAAAATGTGCTTCTTTGGGTTTAGGATATCGATCTGTCATTTCTGACATTGCACTAAATTATATCATATCTGTCAAAATGAAGTGGCATGCGTGATCTCGAACACTAATGCAGTCTCATTTGCGAATATACTTCATATCTGCTCATTCCTTCAATTGTAATATTTCATGAATGAAAATTACTTTTATTACATAAAGTGATAAATGTCACACAGCTGCAGAAAACTTTATTCTAACTATATAACACGTCACTTAAGCTTATTCATTCGCGATGGAGAATTTTAATTTGGGACGTCAAAAAATCCCGTTACTCTCAAATCAGACTTTTCTCTTTTGCAATGTCAACTGCAATGTCTTTCCGATTTTAATGAAACTTAGAGAAAAGTACATGTGTTCTTCTCACGATAAACACGTGAGCAAAACATTTTGCGAACCTACCCCTATTGCAAACATTCCCTGGTCTCCCTTATCTGATAAGTTTGATGTTTTTCACGATGCCCGGTCTTTAAGACGTAATCAATCAGCTTAAAATATAGGGAGATTTACAGGACCAAATGCGTGAATCGCTCGAATGCTCAACGATCGGTTATCTCCATCACCGGCGACGAAAGAGTTGGTGACATCGCGTCGGGTCGCGTCGCGCAATTCTCGCTGACTTTAATGAATATGCGAGCAGACCCTGGTCCGTTGCTCCCCACTCGCTCTGTGCGCGAACAGAAATCGGGGCCCCCTTTCCCCCTACGAGATCCGAGACCCTATAGTTCCCAACACGCCTGATAAGTCCCAGCTCTTCTCTTCGCTCCTTCGCGTGCGCGGCTCGAACATGGGATTGAGACATGTAAATTGGTGCAATCGTCCACTCCGATCGGCGTGGCTCCTCCGATGCTACCACGCGGAGCATGCCAAGGCGCTACAGCGCTTTTCAAGCGGCGTTTCACGCCGAAACACTTCGAATCGGAAACTAATCGTTTTGATTCTCGAACATTTCTGTGTACATTCTAGGTGGTTGGATACTCTTTGCAACGAATTAGTCTTTTTCGCAGCTTGCGTGAGGATGAATATTCGGTGTTTGGAGTGTTTTACCGATTTCAGAGCTAAGATAATTTTGAGAAAAAGTGTTTGAAAAAAGCATATCAAGTATTTGATATTTTTGTTACATTTTTGCTAATGTGACTACAATTGAAGGAATGAACAGATATGAAGTATATTCGCAAATGGGACTGCATTACTGGTCGAGATCACGCATGCCAATTCGTTTTGACAGATATGATATAATTTAGTGCAATGTCAGAAATGACAGATCGATATCCTAAACCCAAAGAAACACACATTTTGCACAATACATTATCATAATTACTGCACTGAGAGAGAAAATGGTAAATGTTATTGGAATTATGATTATTTTTGGCGCTAATTATACTTTCTTGTTGTCCTAATAAAAAAATAATAATTGCATTATATATATATATATATATATATATATATATATATATGTATGGAAAGCGCTACATTCACACTGGAGAAAAAGTGTTTTACTATCATAGCAGTAAATGTTTAAGTGTTTATGACTATAATTGCATAGTGAAAAAATTATGATCAGCGGAATTTTTATAGTAAGTGTTACTATAATGTTAACATTATAGTAACACTAACATTATAGTAACACTTACTATAAAAATTCCGTTGATCATAATTTTTTCACTATGCAATTATAGTCACAAACATCTAAACATTTACTACTATGATAGTAAAACACTTTTTCCTCCAGTGTGAATGTAGCGTTTTCCACACACGCGCGCATGGCGTAGGAGTTCGAGCTGGAGCAAGACGAAGAGAACGAACGCGGGCGAGAGAGGAAATGTGAGACAACCTGTAGGGTAGGCGTTAAGGTGTTAATGAGGTCGTGTCGCTCCGAGTCGATTCAATTATGCGGCGGTGGCGGCTAACGAGGCCCCGTTTACCCTTTCGGTCGTCTTTTAGCCTCTCGGCCTTCTAACCGGTCGATCTCCTACCTGCCGGTAGTGCCACTACATCTACGGCTAGCTTGGCACACATAACTCAGACGCGCGCGTACGCGTCAGCGCGGACTGTGAACGTTAATAGAGGAATACATATGCCGTATCGAGAACGGCCACTTACCATCGATGGGGAACGGGAACTCGGACGACGCGAGGGTGCTGGCAGGACCTGCCGCGTGCAGGATGTACTCTGGCCCCAAACCACCCAGTCCTGAAAATGCGGAGACCATCGGTTAGCGTTATAGACAGTGAACTCTATACTGGAGAGAAAGCTTATTCCAATGCTTCACGGCCGAGCAGGAGAAGAAGAGAGACGGCTTACTGAAGCGCCATATCTGCTTCTGTTTAATGAATTCTGATTGCTCAATGATTCCCTATGCTTACTGCAAATCTCAGCTTTACTAACACTGGTAAACTTCATTGTAAAACTTCTTGTCTCACATCTTTACACTGCTGATGTGTCTTTGAACGCAACCAATGTTTTCAACTCAAAGGGAAAAAGACTTATATTTTTCCCTTTCTCTTGTCCCGCCTTCGCCCATTAGAATGAGCCTTCCAGTGCAGTATAGAGTTCATTGGTTCATAGATCGTTTGTTCGACCGACCTATCGATCGATCGGAGTACCGATTTGGACAACAGATACCGTTCCACTTGAGAGGCAAGTGGAGCGTGTTACCAGCGCGACGCAGATCACGCGCGACGGATCGAATTCAAAGAGCTCTTGTACTTGCTGGAATAGTGCGAGCGGGAGGGACTTCCGGCGGAAATGCGGGGCCGCCTTTTACGGGCTCCGACGTCGTTTACAGCGGGAAGGGAGAGCAGGACGCAGGGGAGGGGGGCATGGTCTTCGAACACACTTCTATTTGCGTTCTGTTCGGATAGTTACCGTGTAACGAGGCGTTGGGACTGTGCGTGGAGGCCTGAAGCTGGTGGTAAAGGTGGTCCATGTAGTTGAGCCGATAGGCGGGATGCAGGGCCGTATGCTCCGAGAGGGGATGACTTCTGCGCAGGAAATCTCCGCCGGAAGTCCCGTTGCCGACGGTACCACCCCCTCCTCCGCCGCCGGCGCCGCCGCTGCCACCCCCGCCGGCGCCGCCGCTGCCGCCGCCACCGCCGCCACCGCCGCTGCCGTTACCAGCCGCTCCGATCGCAGTCGTGCTGCCGGACAATCTAAAAAGCGCAAACGCGATGGTGAAAATCGTTGATCGAAAATAGATTATTCGTAACGAGTAATGATGATGATAGTTTCTTATTCTCTTGGGACATGCAATTGAGTATCGCGAAAGTGACGTTGGGATAACGAAAGTAAATATTACAAGATAATGATGAGGAAATATAAATAAATATAGGTCAACGCAGAACTTAAATCAGTCACCAATTCTGAGTCCATTTTTAAATGCAAAAGGAATTCTTTTCACTGGACTGAACTCTGAAGAATTCTTTTTGCATCTGAAAATGAACTCAAAATTGGTGATGTACGACTGAATTTTTTTCGAATTATTTTTGAATTCTCTGTGTTATCTGAGTAGACATGTAACATGAATATGAATCCACTTGACAAACATTTCATAACGCAATTATCCTCTTTAATTTTCCTCAAATAATAGGTAAGAGTAAATAAATTATATTTGAAAATTATCAAATTTCTCGAGGCACACTGGAAGTGAATTCCAGGTTGAGACAACTGTATAGAAGAAAGATCGTTGAAACGCACTGGTTCTACATGTAGACAGACAGAGATCAAATTTAGAAGCACGCTCGGTCCGCCTGAATACAAACCCTTTCGTTCCGGCGTACCAGTATTAACTACTGAGAAGACATAGTTGCAGATATCTGGTCCGAATTGGTTGAATTAACCAAATATCTGGTTGAATATGAATGATCCAGAAATTCCGATTGAAGTAACCGGAATTCTATTTAAGTTAACAAGATTTTTGGTAGACTAACCAAACATGTCTGGTTATTTAACTAAACATGTCTGGTTAAATAACCAGACATGTTTGGTTAGTCTACCAAAAATCTTGTTAACTTAAATAGAATTCCGGTTACTTCAATCGGAATTTCTGGATCGTTTATATTCGACCAGATATTTGGTTAATTCAACTAAATCTTTTTTTCCGTGTAAGATTCCGCGTAGACATCTGCTAAGATTTTTTTTGCATACAGCATAGATTCTGACTAAATTTGTTTCAAAATTTGTTATTCCCGCAATTAGCTACGATACCAATCTAAATCTACCATTCTTATTCCAAACATGAATTCTCCATACAGAATTAAAATAGAAGTACTATGTTAGGCGGCAACTTTTATAATATCAAACAGAGGCAATCCTTGTTATATTTACTGAATAATGAAATTATTTGGAAAGTTAACATGAATTTTGTTTAATTATAATATAAGTAAAGACCAGAAAGAATATTGGAGAAATTTGAGGTGTTTTCCATTCAAAGTCACACGTCTAAAACATTTCACTTCTAATCGAAACCCATAATATTCTTTGGAAAGTCAAACTGGATCCCAAATAGATTCCAAGAAATTTTCTTTGTGGGGCAAAACCCCAATTATTGGCATTCTCCTTAGTCACATTAACACTCTAGAAAAATCAAATTTCTCTAGAGAGTCAATGACTAAGGTAAATATAAATAATTGCGTGTTCTAGCACACAATCTCTTTCTAATAAAAGAACGGGCCGCGGAGAAGTTCAGCGATAACGCGTGATAACGCGCGAACAGATGGCGAGTGTCAGCAGATCTACGCTCAAGCAACCCTCCGACGTCGTAACGTAAGTCCCATTAACGGAACGTATTTCTGGTAAGACGTTTATGATTTACAGTGAGGAGGGCCACGAAGAAAAGCATTCTCGTTTGACGGATGAAATTACGACACGCGTCGTGTGCGCGACAAATGGCGCGTGTCTCTTCGTCAAAGCTCCTATTCGCGTCGCTTCTTGACGCGGACAGGTGTCTTCCATCAATGGCGCGCTCGTATGATCAAAGTGTAACTTCGCTGGATAGGATAATCGCGTTTTTGTTTGTCGTCCTCCACCGACGTCACAATGCACGTACTCGTTCTTTCGGGGAAAAGAAATCTCCGCAGGAGAAGGCACGAACCGCCGAGGAGGAGCGGTATGTCTCTCTTGTTTTGAATGATGGCAATTCGCCACGCTCGGAACATCTAGAAACGATGCGTGTCCGGTGTCTTCAAAGATGTCCTCTTCCCTCGTCGTTTAACTTCTTCCGTTGGGCTTCGTTAACGGATCTTGTGTCTTGTGCACAGACGAGCTCACGACGCTTTCAGGACATTTTCCGAGCATCTTCCGTATTGAAATTTCTCAAGATTTTCCCAAATACAACATAAATTCCAATTAAAATGTCCAAATTCATCGCAAAATTGGTTAGCCTATTATGACATCAATTGGGAACCCCATTTTTGTGCCTAATATGAGTTTTCTCTTTAGAATCGAAACCCAAAAATATTAAATTAAGAGAAAGAAAATAAGAACTCAATAACAATGATATCAATTAAATAATAGGAAAAAGGGCTAATTCGAGTTCAAGCACAGGATTAATAGTGTTATGTACCATATGGGTAAAACCTTTCTTGTGTTAGGAAATAGAGCAATATTTATTGAACATGAATACTCAATATAAATAATCAAACGTTTCAGCTCAATCATGAACCCTCTTCAGCGATATAAAAACTCAAAGTTTACAAAACGAACGCATTACAAGTAAAAGAATTAATTAAAGACCTTAATAAAATGACATAAATGTTATTCGCAATATTATAGCTGACAAGATCGTTATCCGACTAATATTAAGAAGTTCAAATGAATACTAGGAAGTAGCCATAACTATAAAAAAACTATAAAATAAAATAAAAATAGGTAAAAATAAAATATAATAAATAATTAAAACGGTCAATATAAATTACCTTTTGTTGAGCTCAGCTAAAAGTGAAACGATCAATGATAACATCGCTAAGTAAAAGAGATAACACGTCTAAGTAAAAGAGATAATAACAGATTTATATACACGAGCATTAACATTGCGGCGACGTCTCTTGGAAGAGAAGGAAAGAAACAA